GAAGTTACCTATCTTGGAATGATAATCTCCACAACAGGTATTAAAATAGACCCCAAAAAAGTTCAGTGCATCACCGACTGGGAACCCCCCTCTTGTTTAAAGGATGTTCAAGGCTTTTTAAGATTTTCAAATTTATATCAGAGATTTATTAAAAATTTCTCAAAGATTGTCAGACCCCATGTCTCTCTAACCCGAAAAGATGTAAAATTTATCTGGTCCGATGCCTGCCGGAGTGCCTTTGAACTCCTCCAAAAATCTTTCATTTCCGCACCAGTTTTGCGTCATTTTAACGCCTCAAAAGATATCATTGTCGAAGCAGACTCTTCTGACTTCGTCTCAGCAAGTGTTTTATCCCAAAAAGACGACAAAGGTAAATTACATCCGGTCGCTTTTATGTCAAAAAAGTTCGAAATTACTGAGTGTAACTACGAGATATATGAGAAAGAACTCTTAGCTATCGTACGATGCTTTGAAGGTTGGCGAGCTGAGCTTCAAGGCTCATGCTACCCAATAACTGTTCTCACAGATCATCGAAATCTTGAATACTTCATGACCACAAAGGAGCTATCTCGTCGCCAGGTTCGTTGGAGCGAGTTTTTATCACAATTTGACTTTGTAATCAAGTCTAGACCAGGAAAAGATAATGCTAAAGCAGACTCACTAACACGACGCTCCCAAGATCTTCCTAAAAACGACTCTGATCCTCGAACTCAGCACCAAAAGCAAACCCTCTTACCTGCTAATAAATTTCATGAAACTATAACAGAAGATTTAGCTCAGAATGAACATAATCCTGCATCAAATTCTACTCACCTCTCTTCTGCTTCCCTCTCTAAATCTAAAGACGAACCCTCGGACCAGAAAATTTCGCGACTACTTGATCAAGGCTATCAAGGTGAAACAGACCAATGGCTCAAGAATATTGTTGCTGAGTTTACTAAGCCGGAGGGAATACCACACTCAAAAGAAATTTCACTTTCAGAATGCGAGCTCCGTGAAGGCCGACTTTATAATCGTGATAGAATCTATGCCCCAGATAACGAACTGAGGCCTATGCTTATTCAGATGGCTCACAATAGCTGTGAGAAAGGTTATCCAGGGAAAAATGCATTGTATCAAGAAGTCTCTAACCATTTCTGGTGGTCTAAGCTCTCAAAGCAAACTGATCAATTCGCCAAAAACTGTCATAACTGCCTCCGAAATAAAGTCTCTCGGCTCAAATACCAAGGAGCACTAAAACCCCTGCCCCTCCCATTACAGCGCTGGCGCGACATCTCATTAGATTTTGTCGGTCCTTTAGCAGAATTCAATAATTATAATTGCATCATGGTTGTAGTAGATCGCCTCACCAAAGAACGACATTACTCACCTTGTCATACAAAGATGAATGCGAAGGACTTAGTTAGACTTTTTGTCCGTGATATTTGGCGACTCCATGGACTATATGATTCTATAGTTTCCGATAGGGGCCACTATTTGTAGCAGAATTTTGGAAAGCAGTTTGTAACTGTTTGCAGATTAACTTGTCACTGTCTACAGCTTACCATCCAGAGACAGATGGCCAGACAGAAAATGCCAATGCATTTATGGAACAATATCTCAGACAATATATAGATTACTCTCAAGAGGACGTCTATGAATGGTTACCAATGGCTGAATTTGCTGCGAATAATGCAGTTGACACTTCTACCAAAGTCACACCATTTTTTGCAAATAAAGGATTTCATCTACGCATGAGTTTTAGCCCTCCACGAACTGTTGAAAGGAATTCTTCAAAAAGTCTCCGGAAACAAATATCAGCGGGTACTGACTTGGCTTCCAAAATGGTAGAAGTCCTTGACGTATTGCTTGCAAACCTTACGCGCTCCAGAGATAGGCAAGAGAGTGCATCTAGCACAAATCGATCACCAGCACCAGCTTATCGAGTTGGCGATGAAGTTTTCCTAGACTCCCGTAATATCACATCCTCCCGGCCGATCTCGAAGCTAGATTGCAAATTTTAAGGACCTTTTAAAGTCATCAAAATTATTAATTCTCATTCATATAAATTGCAGCTTCCTTTCGAACATAACAATTTGCACGATGTTTTTCATACAAGTTTACTCAGACCGGCACCAGCAGACCCCCTACCAGGTCAGATCAATCCTCCACCACCGCCTATTGCCCTTGACGAGTCAGGCGAAAAGTTATATGCTATCGAGGCTATCCTAGATTCTAGGCGTAACAAGAATAGAAAGAATTTCCAGTATTTGATACTGTGGAGAGGTTATGATTCAGAAGACCAAACATGGGAACCTCTCAAGAACGTCGTGAATGCCATATCGTCCATAAAAGAATTTGAAAGGTGTTATATTAACTAGGCTATATGGGAGCAGGACGATGGATACTCTTGGGGAAGTTATGCTCACAGTAGGTCTCTATAGTCGCCGTCGCGTGTGTTCTCGTGATATGTAAGACTTGACTCTATATTCTCGTATAAAGGAAACTTAGTTACAATGAATGGACGGAGGTTGAGACCTCCTTATATCTTGCTCCAGACTTACTGTGTTGTTCACAGCCTAGTGCTAGAACATTCTCTTATGATATCATTTCTCTCCTACGAGAAATGAACAGCTCGTTCTCTCTCAGTCTATCAGTCTCTCGCTGGTTCCATTATCTCTATTCCATCGAGTTCTAGTTTGGTCCAGTATACCCACACATGCATTACACACTAAACATCCCATGGTTTAGTTCCACAGTCACGTGCATATGCTATAACGCGACCTAAAGCATGTACCATGGTAGGCTACATTAATAACACAACAAAAGGCGCTTTCCGCATAAACCTAAGCCATCATTGCGAGAGATTGAAACTGCAAGAAGACAAGCCAAATCTTCCGTAACGAAAATCGCGCCTAAGATTTAAGGAATTTGGAGTGAGGCGGGACCATATGTGAAGGGATGGAGAGGATTGCGGTACCGTTTAGTCACGTGCTATCACGCGCCTGATGCGCGATTCACAATGTATATATATCTATAAGACTCAATAGGAGTCACCTTTCCTCTATGTAGACAATCTCAATCACCAGATTAGACCTCGTCAATCTATCCTATGACCTTTACCCTGACACTAGGCACCGGGACCACGTGAAGTGCGCATATTCATCTGTATCTCCCTAATTTGTAACATTCGAGGTCGACCTGATCCAATCCTCGATCTTTGTATCCGGTGCTGGGTACGCTCCGGAAAGTGATCGGATGGCTTCTCCTCCACCGCAACGAGCAGGTGATGAGGAGGGCTTCAACCAAACCATCTGATCTGACGATGGTTAGCTTCATAATAGTAGTGATACGGGGATGTGATCAGAGACAAAGTTGATATAGAGGGGGAAAGCGATTGAGAATCCTCATCGAAGTGAGGACGAAGGTGTTACTCAATTTCGACTTTAATGACTCTACAGTGGGAGCTGAAGACTCGTAGGGGATACCACTGACAGGCGTTGAGAATTTTCCCTCCAGAAAACCAAGACTTCTATGTACAAGCTCTAAAATTACCCCCCCTTTTGAAAGAATACGTCTGCGAACTTCAGGTCATCGGTCTGTCATGTTTCAAGTTGTTATAATCGTCAATTCCAACACTTTAAGCTTCTGTCCATTGTGGCAGAGATCTTGGAGGCCCCTTGGCTTGCGGGCGACTGAGGATGAATTCTTTGATCTGATGCGGGCCAGTCATTGCATCCGAGCGGGGGTACAATTCTAGGTCCTCGTCCACACCTTGCTACCGGGTCCTGTATTCCAGTGTTTTGTCCGGAATTCGTGACCCCAAAACGTTAGTAATCTCCAACTCGTCCTGTTTTGCTATTATTTGTATTGGCGCTTGGTGTCACAGTCTAAGCATAGGCAGCTGGGTGTAACAGCTGCTAAGCCTAAGGATTCCTGTAGCCTACGCTGGCTAGCGCAGACAATGACACCAAGGGAATCCTCGGGTATCTTCGGGAGAGATCTTGAAATACCCGAAGCTTAGAGGATTCCCAATAAACCTTCTGGAAGCGTACTAAAGGTTCACGAGAATAACAGGAGTATCGAGAATCTTCTACTGAGGTTGTCGAAGTTTCCAAACAATTCTGGTTATACAGGGAGTATTATAGAAGGGTATTATCTTAGATTTTATATATATTTGTCGTCTAGCAGTAGGAATTCTCTCTCCAGAGAATTATAATTAATATACTGCACTTTCAAGATTGCCCATGCATTTTGTACTGAAACCGTGACAGATGGCCATGCTTGTAAAATTCACAATGAACTCACGGAAGGGATTCAGAAGATGTTCTGGAAGATCTTTCGCACTAATTATTTCATCAAGAATGCATGCAATGTATTGAAGCTTCGGGATAGATTCTTAATTCCTGTTTTTTTTTTGCATCAGATTTTAATTGCGTATGCAGCTATTTAGCTATGACACAATATCAAAGAAAAGTACAGAATAGATGATTCAACGTAAAGGAAGAGCACTAATGCCTCAGATTTCATTTGCAAGTACCACTGCGAAGTTATGGTGGCTTTTTCTTCATCCCAAGTCAACCCTCATCCGTGAATACCCACTCAGGGGAACCCTCAAAAACCCTTAGTTATCCAGACATGCCTCCATCATCTTTCAACTTTTCTCCGCGCGATATGTGATCTGAGGTGTCTCTTTCCCAAGTGGAGTAGGTGCCCAGGCTACTCAAACCATACCAGAGAACACCACTAGGAGGCGGACCACTACACCTTCCATCGTTGGCTTGTGTTTAAAGTGTCAGCTGCTCTCTTCCAGTTGTAGTTGTAGAGCTATAATAAAAATATTCATGACCTCAATCCTTGGCCCTCAGAGGGAGAGTGATTTCTACTGCTCGGTAGATTTCGATATTGACACGTGATCATTGAACCATTCCAAAGTTAGCTCGGTAATCCAAATGAACATCATCTCGGCAGTATAATCATTGGAGACCAGATTTCGCTTTCCGTGACTGGGATGAAGAAAAATGTCTTCAATTACTTTTCGCACCCCCTTACGGCGCTGCATTTTTATTCGAAATACTCACTTTTTTAACACAAGGAGACACTTTGGCGCATCTTCCGCTAAAAAAGCTGCCAGGCCATGGAAATCTACCATAATCAGGTGGGGTATAGCTATTGGGGGCTTATACTATTACAACACAAGCAGTTTATTTGCCGAAGATCCAGAGAGTGAGACAGTTCATGGCTAGACAAAACAGGCACGGCTAATAGTTCATTTAGTATCTATTTTAAAACCAACACTTACAAAGAAGGACACTGTCGAAACAAGTATATATCAACTAAATTCAACAGAAAAAGACAAGAGGAATAACGGAGGCAAGCAGATGCTCGGTGAGCAGAGTCCCGAACAGGCCACAAGAACATCCGTAAGCGGTTCTCAAGAACCGGAGACAGGGGATGAAGATGCTGAGATTATACAAGGAGAAAATGCCTCTGGTCAACAAGAGGCCTTTAATCCTGAAACTGGCGAGATTAACTGGGATTGCCCCTGTCTTGGAGGCATGGCACAAGGCCCTTGCGGTGAAGAATTCAAAGCTGCTTTCAGCTGTTTTGTACACTCAAAAGAAGAGCCTAAAGGTGTAGAGTGTATAGAAAAGTTCAAGTAAGTTGAAGTCAACCACTTAGTATATGAGTATTCATTCCCTACAGGAATATGCAAGAATGCTTCCGGCAACATCCGGATATTTACGGTGCAGAACTAGGAGAAGATGAATCTGAGGAAGCAAACATTGAGGGACAAACCGAGTTATCAGAAAATTCAGAAAATTCAGACAAGACGGGCACAGCTTCAGAGCCAAAGCCCTATAATTCCAACCAGGGATCTGAATATTCCTTGGAAAGGAATAAATTTACCGGCAGTGACGCATCAGACGAGATCACAACAAGCAAAGTTGGAGGTCAACAAGAACGACCAAGTAATCAACTTGACGCTAATTAAATACCGCACAAAAGCAAAACTTTAAATCAATCATGTGGGCTCTTCTATAAAACTTAATCCATAGTGTACTATATCTAGGGGAATCAAATATAATCAAAGCATCAATAAAATAAGGAAGCGATTTATTTTCATTTCAGTGTATATTTACTGCACGTGCCGGAAAATTGGAAACTACCTCTCCTTTGCGAAGCTTGTAAAGAGCAGTATTGGGCTGAATTAAGTTGATAACACAACCCTTAACAACGGGTAAGATACTCCAGTACTCTGATGTGTAGGATTAGGCCAATTTAGAGCTTGTATAAACATGTCCTCCACGTCATAATGAAGAACTTGAAATCAGGCCATAAGAGTCTTGCTTCCTTTACAGCCCTATCACCTTCTAGGTTTCGTCATCTAACATCAAAACACTTCCGATCTTTTTTTTGCTGCGAGTTACTATTTGTTCTGGTGAATTTTATCTTTGGATGTTCAAGGTACATGTATATAATTTATCCGTTACATCTATCACTTCCCCATAATCTTAACCGAAATTTAGGAACACTTTTGAACGATAGTCAACGCATGGACCACCTGCAAACAATTTAAAAGTAGTATGAAGTTCAAAAACTGCTCAGCACTGTTCCCCACCTTCCTGGATGTGAAACATTTTCCTAGGTCAGAGCTTAGTCAAATTTCGCAATACTGATTGTTTAGGTCCACAAGGCAATGATTCGAGGCTCCTTATCACGTCAATTTTCCCTCCCAACAAGATCAATTTCCATCAAACCCCCATCAAGTCTGAGATTACAGATTGTTACATTCTTGTTTTCATGACTAAACTTCAAATAAACTCAGTCTCTGGCCTAAGTTTCTGTCAAACGAAATGGCCATGACTGTATGAATAACCGCAGGAGGTCAAAATCCAGGCGCTCAAGTATGAGTTACAGATATTTCGGATGGATATAAGAGATACCAGGACAGATAGAAAAGATGATGCTTAAGATGGACAAAGTCTTGAAAGGAGTGAGATCTCGCCATTGGGGAAATGCTTTTCAAACTAAAGAGCAATGTGTGTAAATCAGTTTCGTTGCCGGGGGACAGGTGCTGGAGCAACTATGTGGTTGATGTTATTAGAAAATAATTTTAAAGAGAGATCAACTAACGGATTTATCTATACTTGTATATATACACGAAGGCCTCATGTAATACAACGTCAATGCACTGTTGGTTTATGGGGTTATAACCGATCTCGTATACTCCCAGCTGATGGCTTCTCACCAGCACGTGATGCAGTGTTGAGCTGCACTGCTGAATTAGATTCTATGCATATTCCGATGCTCAGATGATGTATCGATCGATTATACGCCCTCTACACCAGATCAAGCCTATATGAGCCAACTCAGGCCACAGGAACCAATCGGCTAATTAGCCGTTACATTCGTCCGCGAAGGTGCAGGCGATACAAAAAATAAGATCATGGCCCGATGGTGCAGTAGCACATCTGTTCTAGCATTCCAAATAGAGTCAGGACAGCATGGACACCCATCCCACTTGAGATAGGAAATTTTGGCACGAATACAGCAAGACTAAACTAAATATCTTGCAGTGGTCATGTAAGAGATGACAAAGGTATGTTTGGATTATCCGAGTTGTTGAATCTCCGGATGGTGGGCCTTCACTGACGATAGACGAATGCTCTGTCCAAATTGACCCAACAGCGAAACTTGCGAATAAGTTCCGGACTTTTCGAGAAAGAGTGTGATGGAGAGATTTAAAAGGTCTAATATGGCAGAATAAGTTGTCCATAAAAAGGCAAGGTCTCCTGCAAGGTACTAACAGATAAGTTGAATGAAACCCATATGAAAATAAGCTGTATCACGTGCTATTTGCTGATGTCCACACCTTAAAAAGTATGGACGTCTTCCAAGTCATATATATCCGTTAAATAAATAATAAAGTCATGTAAATCATTTAGCATGCATAAATGGCACTAATCTGCCGCCAGGCAAAAAGCCTGTAACTTCCATTCAAGACGAGCTCTTGTTCATCCGATTACACAAAGCACACCGGTGGAAAAATCTTTCTCGGGCTAGAATTCACGATATTCTTCTTTGCAAATTCGACATTCCAACGGACGAAACCCCTTTTTTCCAAAGCGTTCCCTAGGCCTTCGTCTCAGAGATGAAAGCCGAGGATTGACGCAAAATTCTTGTGGAAAATAGTAAGAAAATCACTGGAGCCAGAATAAGGATTGGAGCATCTTCAAAATTTACGTGACTGCGGATCCCAACGATCTCATTGACCTTGAAAAGTAATTTTTGCGCTCAAACTGTCACCGAAGATATGGTGATGAAAAGGATATCTTGGATCACTCAAAAGCCTCTCCCTTGGTCCGTCCACACGAGAATATACACCTTGGAGGACCTACCAGTCTTGAGTGACTTTTTTCCCTCGAAAATCGGTGCCTCAACTCGGCTTTTGAATCTTAAAAGAGTCAGGTCTGGTTGCTAGGCATCAACAACGCCAACTCGCGCAGAAATGCAGCAATATAAAACTGCCTCGGCCTTGACAGAACTCGCGGCTGCCCTTGAGCAAAAGCATGCGATTACTGCTTCTCAAAGGTACGCCCTCATTCTGAGTGCAAAGTGTTATCATCTGCCACGAGGTCTCAGCTCTGTGCAGACTTATTGCTCGCTAGTTTTTTATGCAAGTCCAAGAACATAGACTTGAAGACAACCCACTACTAGGGCTTCATTGGTTTGTAATGGAATAGGATGGACTGGATAATATAGGAATTATGATATGGATATCTAAGATATATACACTATGGGATCTCTTTCCTGACGCTAGTATACTGAAACTAGTCATCTAGATACAAGCTTTCTTCAATCAACACAAGTCTTTCGATATCTAAGTTAGTGTTCTACGAGCGCATATAGCATCCTTCAAAGGTAGAGATTCAACTCATATGTCCTCATAATCTCAAAACAAAGCCCCCACTAAATAATGCAACTGTTGTGCTCCGCATTGGGCAACTAGTTGAAGCCATCTGGATAGTCTAGCGCGCATCTGCAAGGTCACCAAACAACGATGGGTGACAAGAAGAGAAGCTATCTAACGCGAATACGCTGCCGTAGCACGAGTTTGGGCTGCCACCAAAAAGCCTTCGCCACCGCAATATCCTCAATGCAGGATGTTTCAATGGAAGAGGGCTTGGGATTCGAGTGACTAAAACCCAAAAAAGATTTTGAACGGGAGGAATTCCTCTTCGCGAAGCCATGCCCGGCTTTGAATCGCCTCGCATAGATACAAAATCAAAGAGGAAATTAAAGCTCTTACCACTAGCTTCCAGCGGTGTTTGAGATTTTAGGTCATGTGAGAGGTATGATGGGAATAGAGACGGGCGAGAAGCCATTGATCGGAGCCCTACAAGGTACATTTTTCTCAAAGCTCTTTTTTGATTTCCTTGCGTTGTTTTTCGATCCACTACGACTTTAGCAGCGATTCCACGGTAGGAATGAGTTGTGCCTGTAAAAATAGCGGACTTGGAGTTTTTAGCTCAAGACCTTTTTCAAAAATTGTACATCGCGTCGACGCACAGAACCAGATTACAGCGGCCGAGTGCCAGTCAACTCAGTCTACATAGACTACTTGACGTGCCAACGCGTTGGAAAAGGCCAGGTAGACTGAAAAAGGAGTTCTAGCTACCACTTAGCGCCTCAGAAAGTTATGAGATATTCCAGGGATTGACTGCCTCTGCCAACCTTCTAGGTGAAAGTTTCCCAATCTTGAATCCTCCATTTCAACCACGTCCAAAGCTTTCATCGTCCGATATTTCTCCTAAGTCCACTCGCAGGTCCTAGTTTCTACGTCGGACACTCACACTCTGCAACCCAAGTTTGGCGTCTCCCGATGACTCCCTGTCAACAACAGTGCCGGGACAAAGAGTCGCGGGCCACGTTGTGGCTTTTTGGGCATTAAATAGAGAGGAGTTAAAATATAGTTTGGCGTATCTATGGAGAGTGCGGTATTCATATTACTTTAATAACGTCTTGAATGGTGTAGGTTATTTTCTTCGTGATTTACGTAGTCGAGGAATCTCTGCAATCAGTGAGTTCCGACCAAAACCAGCCCAGCACCGCTGCTTCTAACAAGAATTTTAGTCAGGAAAAATAGATTTGATCGTTGGGGGATGACTGAATCCCGACTCAGAGAAAAATTTACTCCCAGGCTCGTAAAGGATACCACTGACAGGTATTTAGTCTTTGCTCCTGTCAAAAATATTACCCTAAAATTAAATGTTGTATCATGATATTTAAGTTGAGTAGTTTACCTGTTTGTAAACTAGGCTGATGCATCAAGGGCAATAACTTAGTCATGCAAATGTTACAACTAGCGACTAGACGGATGGCCAATTTCATATGCACGACTCCCTTGTTGTTTCACTTTCTCTATTGCCCATGATAATGTAACAGCCAATTTCAGAACCATGTATGGAACGGAGATTTGAGCAATTCGCATGGGCTATCTAATAGTCAGTCTATATTTGGAATTAGTAGAATACTCAAGATGTATATAGTACCTAGATAGATTCCTCATGGTGGAGGACAATCAATTCAATCAACTCTGAGAGAGATTCATATTAGTATAACTTTGCTTAACAGCTCCCAACTCAGGTTCTTGATTTTTTTCACGTCTGTTGAGGAGTAAGTCGTCAGCTTTTGCAATTAAGGGGACGCTTACTAAGTAGGACTATATTGGCTATAGTTACATTGTGTTTGGATGGAAGACAGTGTCGCGGGATCAATTGATGATGGCAGACACCAGAGCAAGTCCGAAAGTAAAGTAAGTAAGTTATTCTAATCTATACAAGAAGCCAGAAATGTTACTCCTATCTACACTAATTACATCTATTTCAATATCATAGTCTTGGGGAACACGGCTTTTATTTCCAGTCTTATCAAAGCTATCCTTTTGATTACCAGCCTATTGGAAAATGTAGTCTGTGCGATATTTGATGG